CAAAAAATGACATCCATGAATCTGAAATATCACTGTCAAGAAGTAAAAGAGGTACTTGATGGGAAGCCACTGCGGCTTTGCGGGAAACGAAGACCTTGAATGCTTTTCAGTTGAAGTTTCACGCTTTTGCATGTTTGCTTGTGTCCAAGAAAGAGCTTTCAATAACTTCTGGCGCAGCGAATGTTATCGTCCTCGGACACAGGATAGAAGAGGATATTGTGGGCGTTGGTCCTGATCCTGAGAACATAGAAGAGCTGGTCATGTGCTCTGACGAAAGTTCGATCTCCTCTCCATTTTTTCAACTTTGCTTGGGTCTGCTTCAAGATCTGAAGCAACAGATAAAAACTAAAGAAAAAAGTTTGACGTCTTCTGAAATACAGCGTTTGGGGGGTAACCCGGCGTTTTGTCCGAGGCACTAGGAAGACATTTTTATGACTAAATGTACCCCTTACGTTGATTTATTTATTTTGAGTTTTCTTATTTTTCACTTGCAGAGAAATATTGTTTCAGTTCGCACAAAAATTGTGTGAACAATGCGTAAAACATTGTGAGAGATTGGGAGGTATGTAAGTGATAGTTAAGAGATTGCGTGAGCTTGACAATTTGTCCGTGGAGGTGGGTTTGGCAATTAAGTCCAAATCGACAAAATGAGTGAAATTTTGGTTTCACCATGTTTGGGGCTGAGGACCGAGGCGGCTGCTGAGCGCTGCTTATCGCTGTCGGGTTGGGTATCCGATGCCACTGCCTCTGCTACAACTGCTACGTACTTCTCGCTACAACTGTTTAACTGCTATGTGCTATTGCTGCATTTGCACTTGCTTTGGTACACGTCTGATTGCAACACTGTTGGCTGCGATCGAGAGTCAAAGCTAGCTGATTTAACAATCATCTGCTAAAAAGAGAAAGGTACTGGCTCTGCTGAGAGGAAGCTCACCAAATCAGATGGAGAACAAGAGAAGAGAACGAGTGCCTTTTCGCATGGCATCGGAACCCGGAAACCAATTTTTTGACCATTTTGAAACGTACGAGCTTCCTTAAAAAGGACCAGAAAGTTAAAAGATTTGCAAAAGATGAACAAGCAGCAGACGAGAAGCAGAAGTGATTTAACATGTATTGAATGTGTTTCCTTCGGGGTACGTAAATATTCCTTTTGTCTGATTTTCATAACATATGTTTAGTCAATTTCATTGGCTGAGCGATAGGGAAGCCTGTTACTCCAGTGGGGTTGAAAATTGTTTCCTGTCTGACAGTGTGTGTGTAAGTGCGTGTGTGTGTGTACGTACACTACTGCTCCTGAACGGCTCGGCCGATTCGGCTGAGATTTTGCAGGGTCATTAAGTATTTCCTTGGCTCGCCACACACCAAAATTCAGCTTTCTATCTCAATCCATTCGGTCATACTAGTCAAAAAACACTTAAAGAACGGCAGAAAAAAGACAACTTTCCAAGTTTTTTCAACTTGACAAGGTTCATGACGTTTCCTATGTTTTTGATGCTGCTGTTGAAGAAAATAGAACCCAGCCGGATCCCCGACCCAAAGTTAAGTTCCAATTGAGTAGATTTTGATGACCAAATGCTAATTTAAGAGGGGATCACGCCTATATCTACGGTGTGTCTAGGACTGCAGCCTGCCGAAGGCAGGGTAGCGCCGCAGCCAAGGTAGGTGTATACGCCAGGCGTTAATTGTCGAAACTGACGCAGCATCGCGAAGCCTGTTACGACAAGACACGGTCTGGCGTACACCTACCTTGTGCTAAGCTATTCTATGGTATGCTGGAAGTTGGATTTCAGACCCACCCAAACCGGTAGTCGGTCGTTTTTACAAGCCAAGCCTCGTCGAGATGTAAGTGAACGCCTGCCGGTGTCCGATTAGGCAACCCATCGTGTACGATCGTTCGGTACATCGTTCGGTTGTCATCCAGGCTGCTCTAATAGAGAAGGCAATCAGGGCGAGGGAAACTTCATTTGAGTGTCATCTGATGGCAGAACCTCAAACACCAAAGCCTAGATGGGTTGGTTCGTCAAAATGTGGAAATTTTAAAATCAAAGATGTTTAGCTCAATTACCACTTGCACGGACTTCCTATCAGCAAATACCCCTTATGTAACAACAAAACACCTTTAGAGAAAGGCATGTACATGTTTTCAGTCAAAATTTTTGACTTCTTGTACCACATATAGCGCCGGAAAGGTACAAAAATGGCCGTTTTGTCGGTGTCCGAATCCCCGATTGAAACACAATGTGAAGTCTAATTCCTTATAACGCCGTTAAAACACCCCAAGTTTCGTGTGTTTTCGAGAGTGGACACTTTAGTCTACATTTTAACCTAAGTCCCGAAACCTTGAGTCGATTCGTTCGTTCGTAAAGTGGAAGAAAAGTTTTGTCCGCGAATTGCGTCACTTGCTACCGGCATTTGTATTTCGCGGCTCCAAGCGTGTTTTGTGCCTGCACCGAACCAAGCGCCAATCCTAATCGGCTTCGAAATTGATATTAAACAAAACTGCAACGTTGGAAATACTTCTACAGGAGTATGGTAGGTTCAAAACAAGGATAATAGGTCGCTTTGCCGTAACTCGCTATCATAAACCTGTAATCGCCAACGCGAAATTTCGACCTCCCCCGGATAAACATTTTCAAATACTGGGACAAGGTCATGTTTGCCGCTTCATTTGACCTATTTACACCATACAGCGTCTGTTACGTACAAGCAAATTTGGTATTTCCTTGCGAAATAGATGGTTTTTATAAAGTGTAATGATGTAATCGGATGTAATCAGCCAGGACCCCGGCGTCGACGCCTGTTACTGCACTTTTGAAGCTTAAATTCTTGTTTATTTCGCATCCAAGCCTATTACATATGTTAGGATTTTTTGTTTGTCCTGATCAGACGAATCGATTTCTATAAATAGATGTCAGTTTTGTCCACTTTGAAATTCCACCCAAACCACTTTAATGTAACGAACGTCGACGCGCGTGTAACAAACGTCGACGCAAATGTAACAAACGTCGACGCGCGTGTAACAAACGTCGACCCAAAGTACGCTTTCAACATTTAAGCCATTTGAAACAAAACTGGAACGAATTAAGCTTTGATATTTTTTGGGAACCATTCTAGAGCCATCTTGAATGAGCCTGCAAAATTTCATCCGAAAAGCCTCACATTAAAATCTTGGAAATCCCGTGCCTCAAATTCCCACATCTCGGCGAACCAACCCAGATCCCAGCAGCAGAGCACTGGGGTGCGCGCGTGTATGTTTAGGTCCAAAGTGGGTCTGCGGAGGTCCACAAAAATCTTTCGCACTCCCAAACCTAAAATAATTCTTTCTGTGGTTAGTCTTTTTGTTTAGGGAAGATATGAAAGTAAATTTTAAGTCAAACCCCATTCAATTTGGTTCAGGTATTACGAGGTACTACACATTTTGAAACAATTTGAGGAATTGACTAAAAATTACAAGGTAGGTGTACGCCAGACAGTGGCCTGTATCAGTCAAACCGGGGGGGGGGGGAGGCTGGTGCGGGAGGACTTTCGCGGTTGAGGGGGCAGTTTTAACCAGGCCCCTGCAACTCTGGCACTTGGGACAGGAGGTGGGGAACCTCCTTGGGGATCAATTTCATACCAACTTCGATTTTCAATATCAAAAACTGGTTCTTTAAAAAATGATTGAAGTATAGTCCCATGAAGAGGCAGAATTATCAAACCAATATATGATATTATTGGCTCCAATGGATGCCTCCTTTGATAGTTAAATAATTTTAAAAAGTTGTAATTGGTACGACTGGGTTCCCCGTTGCGTTTTACCGCCATATTTTTTAGCCCCGAGAGTTACAGGGCCCTGGTTTCAACGGTCACCAAAAGGGGGTCCTTAGGCTGGTCTGACTACTTTTATGCTACCCCCATTTGAAGTACGGGGCGACGACGCTGACGCTGACACTGCGTGGCACTTTTGAAAATTCTGGCTAACTTTTGTCTCTTTAGGACTTAAACCTAGGCCGGAGGTCGAATTGAATCCCATTTTCATTACCAGCACCCTCCAAAACATATGAAATGATGTAAAACTTAACATAAAAACATTTGTCAGCAAAAAGTTAATTTTTAGCCGCGTTTTTAATATGATTTTTGGCTGTACTGACCACATGGATTGAGATAGAAAGCTGCATTTTCGTATATGGCGAGCCAAGGACATGCCCAATGATCCTGCAAAATCTCAGCCGAATCGGCTCAACCGTGCAGGAGTAGTAGTGTACACACGCACACTCACACAGACAGACAGGAAAATATTTCCAGTCCCTGGGGTAACAGGCTTCGCCATCGCTCAGCCAATGAAAAATTGTTGCACATTTTTCGGACATGTCTCTTTATTTATTTTTCATCCTCTTTCCAACGGTATACTCACCTTTGCTCTTCGACGAACACTTTGGAAAGATATTCGCAAGTTGTCAGGAAAAACACTTTTTTAGAGAAAATTTTTAAATTGCGATATTTCAGACCCCTGAACACTTTTCGGGGAAATAAGTGTGGGTTTTTTTATAGTCCTATAGGACTAAGGGACCGTCCATAAAGTACTTTACGCTTTTTGGGTGCATTTTTGACGCCCCCTCTCCCCCATGAAACGCGGCGTGACGATGCCTCGCACCCCTCCACCGATGCGTTACGTAACGAATTGCTATGAAGTTAAAAACGCGTAGAAACTGTCAAGACGTACGAGGAAACCGCAATTTCACGCATTAATGTATAGATGCACCTACACTGTATAGGCCTATTTTCATCGCTCTTGCGTTTCATGCCGAGTCGCGGTCGAACCCCATGAACACCCCCCCCCCCTATGAAACGCACCGTGACGGAAGCCCCCCCCCATCTTTTCCTGCGTGCTTTACGTATTTTAAGGACGGCCCCTCACAACCGCTGAAAAAATCGTCGGGTTCGGGGAACGTTTCGGTCTGGACACCGACGATTTGGTGTGAAATGACCCACATACCAAATTCACACCCACGGGGGTTTGGGAAGGCAAGGCACGCAACACGAGCATACTGTATCACCGATATCTAAGTATAATTTTCGGAAATGTACACGTTGTGCAATTGCAGTCGAGCACTAGCAATCAGGCATTAACTTTGGCACTCTGGAACCTTTGCCAGAATCATTTAAGTTGTAATATACACAACAGCTTGCGTCTTGGCAGAAACTACACGCTTTATGTTATGATACTTTTTTTTTGTCCTATGGATGATGCAATTTTAAGCACATCCGACGGTGATACAATTTTGAGCTCGCCTGGCGACACATTTTGTCCGACGACCGATGCCAATTGGACTCTCACCAGACAATTCGTCCCACCTGGCGGATACTATATTGTACGTATCACCGCCGGATGAGCTTAAAAGTGCACATTTAGTGTAGCGGAGAATCAGCTGAAAGTGCTCCGGATCGGGTGGGCGTGGGCGGTCTTGTCTTAAACCTTATCCGGAACACTGTTAGGGTGATGCCATGAATCTCATTGAATCCTGGAACGGGCGAAGGAACAGCTGACTTTGAAACAAATGTGCAAATCTTGTTTCTCGTTGTACACTCGTAGTTCAGGCACCCATATTCTGTTCATGAGCAAATCTATCTGGCTTCCCGCAATCCTGATAATCGCATCTACGTTAACCGTGCCATTTGCTAGAGTGTATTTTCCCTGTAGAAGAAATAATAGCATGAGTATTATTTATATGACAAAGCACCGCAGTAAAAAGTTATTAAGGCCTTACACCGTAAAAATTTGTTGTCACTTTATGACAAGAAAGTTGATAACAGTTTCATCACAAGTTGATGGCCCTTTTAATAATGCGTCTAGTTCGAGGGGGTATGCGCTCTCTGAACCTGTGTACCGACTATTACGCTCTATTACGCCACAAATTAATCGGAATTTACCTAAAAACGGCCTGAAACACACCAAAATTGATAAAATTTTGACAGTTTCGGCTATTACGCGACCAGTACGCGTAATATTACGCGTGCTATTACAGATAGAGTGAACCGACTTTTACGCGAGTGCTTACCCCCTCGGTCGAGTTGCATGGGCGTGACAACTGTGTCAAAGTTTTAATGGCATTCATGAAAGGAAAAGTAGTCTTCAAATTGACATCCAGTGACAGCTAAAATTTTCAAAGTGCCAATCCAAGGGCGGAATAGGTTTAGGCGTTAGGCCACGTAGGGGTGGGAAATTTGTGCTTTTGTGTGGATCTTTCCAATCGCTCTGCAACCTGAAGTATTTATATCCCTTATTTACAGCATGCCTCTAAGCACACTCTTAGTTACAGCATACTTCCAAGCACACGCTAAAATAACGTGTGCCTGCAAGTTCATGCCGAAAGTACCTGCGAAGTACACTTAAACCGGCCTATGTTTTTGGATAGGACTGATCGATTGCACTGAGAAAACCTTACAAACTACTTTAGGCCTTACAATGGCCTTGCTATGACAAAGTATTTTGAGCAAACATATGCTTACACAGAAAATGATACAGGAAGCGGAAGAAGGAAACAATTCGACATATATCCAAATGAGTCTTTATGTTATTATTGGGCCCCAGGAAGGTTTGCATCTTTACACCAAATTAATTGGACCAACAGTTAAGGAGAAAATCCACATGAAAAATGGGTATAACTCAACTTGACCCTCTGTACGATCTAAATTTCATCGGAAAATGGAGGTAACTCAACCAAAGCCCACATGACTCCGTTGCACAAAATGGCAAAAGGAGAGAACTCAAGTTGTGTCTTTATGAATGTAATGCAAAAAAAATCAAGTCAACTTAAAGTAGTACATCAGCTAGGGTTTCCCGCCAAAAATTTTTGAAATTAAAATTTGTCGTAATGCTCTGCGCTTTGCATCAAGTTACAGATAAAGCTCCAAACTCTATTTTAAGTTATATGCAATTTTGATGTAACCCTACAGGGTTTTGACCAATTCAACTATAAAAACGCCCTAAGTCGCGTTTTGACCCAAAAGAGGGCATTTTTTGGACATTCTTTGTTCTGTAGTTCTCATCTATGGACAGGGACCCCCGTTTTTCTGGAAGGATTTTGATTCATTGTAGTGTCTTTTATCTAACTATAGTTTTTCATTGCCTTCTTATTACTCCTTATGTGCCAAAAGTAAACGTTAGCATGTTTTTTAGACCCATTCCCCGTAAGACCCATATTAAAAATCCCAACTTTGACTGCATTTATCTCAGGAACGAGTTCAGGAAGGAGCATTTAGTTTGGTAACATTGACTTCAGCCGAGGGGGGGCTCACTGGGGTCTCAAACGTACAAAGATTTGACGGCCATTGACTGTCGGAATTTTTTTTCATTTTTCTTAACTTTGTTGATTTTTTTTTATTTTCAATGATTTATCCCGAAAAATTTATTTTAAAGGATTTTTGCCTATTTTTTTGATTCTTTTTGATTTTAATTTTGATTTTTTGATTTTTTTTTGATTTTTTTTGAATTTTATGTCCTGCAGAGGCCCAAATTACCGGCAGTCGTACCAACATACGGCAGTTGTTGGCGCGAAATTTCAAACCATTTGAAATGGGATGGCTATATCTGTCCACCATTTTTTCCGTCCCCCGTATTATTGTGTCCCCCCTAAGATAAAATTATAAAACATATATTATATATAAAATATATATAGTATCACCTAATTTTTAATAAATTATAGGCAAAGAAATAGAAAAAACTGTCAGAGGAGTAAAGTTTTGATAGAAGTTGACCCAAATAATTCTTAAAAATTATCAAACAATTAAAAAAAAATACTAAAAAATATTTTAAAAACGTGGGGGCAGAAATATGCTGCATTGACGTCATTGTGGACACTATGAAAAATTTCGCATGCTTAAAACCAGGTGACAGGCAGCCTCTAAGCTAGAGAGCCATCTAGGCTCTGTACTCTTGGCCGAAAGGTTCCGTCACTATGAAAGAGTGCGCAACTAGTCCCAGGCAGACCGCGCAGTTACGGTTGCGGTGAGCTTGGCGTACTCCAGGTTGTGAGGCCCTTGAGTCGTTCAAGCACGCCGAATAGGCCGTGCCGCAGGTAGCGTACGGTTGAGGCGTGCTTGGCGTCCTCCAGGTTGTGAGGCCTTTGAATGGCACTAGCACGCCGCCAAGGCCGCGCCGCAGCCAGCGTGTCCTCCAAGCGTCCCTGCCATTCGTGCGGCATTCAGCCTCACCACCTGGGTGACGGCGTTCTTGGCCTCCGCCGGCATGCATAACCTTCAGTCGCGCAGCACGCCGCCGCGGACGCGCCGCAGCCAGCCTAGCCTGTCCTCCGTGCGCGACGCCACCACTGTTGAGGCGTGCTTTCTTATTGCCTAGTTTCTACTGAACCTGGAATGTTTTGTAATGTATTAAAAATGCATCCATGGGATGTACGTACGTGAGTCCACGTTCCTGCCTTTAGGGTAGTACAGAAAGAGTGTCACAACTAGAAGAAATGAAAATGAAACATGAATTTTGAAACAGAAAAGATAGAATATTTTATTGGGTCTTCAACAGTGAGCAGGGGAAAAGGAAGAAGACTCAGCAATAAATGTTTTCAAAAGAACTTGCAACTCGTCGGGAACCCCTGCACCCCCTGTGCGTCGTCACTCCATCTCCCTCACACCCCCCACATGGAATGTCCCGCGAGTGCGAGAGAGACGGAGTGCCGATAGGCACTAGCGGGTGCAGCCGGCCCCGGCTGCTGCTGCGCGTCGTCGCGCGCATCTCGGCCGAGGCCGCCAGGTGCCAAGGCCGCGAGGGTGGCGGGGTGGCGATGGTGCTGAACTCAGAAAATCGCACCGAGAATTGTGGTTGCGCCCCTGCGTCGCACAATGCGGAAACGACTTCAGTTATCCGGTCCGGTGTACAGCAAATTGGTAATCCGTTATCCGGATAAATAAAAATTTTGAAGTAATCCGGGGTAATCTGGCGTAATCCAATGGTTATCCTGGAAATTTTTCGATGTAGTCCGGAGGTAAGCCGCGGGTTATCCCGGGTTATCCCTATCCGATGTACACAAAGTTTCTCAGTCGTTTCCCCCTCGGCGTCGCACCATGACCGATCTCCCTAGCGGAGATGGAGCCGGCACGGGGAAGTCCGACACGCTGTCTTCTGCTCTTCAGGGACCTTGTGACGGCCCTGCGACGACAATCGACCCTTCCACCGCTTTGAGTGCCCGGCCCGGAGCCGCCCTAGGCAGCGTGCTTGTGTGACTCAAAGGCTGAACATCCTGGCAGAGGACAAGAGCGCGCCTCAACGGTGGTGGCGTCGCGCCTGGAGGACACGCTGGCTGCGGCGCGGCCTAGGCGACGTGCTAGCGTGATTCAAGGGCCCAACAACCTGGAGGACGCCAAGCACGCCTCAACGACACGCGGCCCAGGCGGCGTCATGCGCGACTGAAGGGCTCTGCATGCCGGCGGCCAAGCACGTCGTCGCCCTGGTGGCGAGGCTGCGTGACGCACGAATGACGGGGGCACTTGTAGGACTCGATGGCTGCGGCGCGGCCTAGGCGGCGTGCTAGTGCCAAGTGCCACTCAAAGGCCTCACAACCTGGAGGCCGCCAAGCACGCCTCAACCGTACGCTACCTGCGGCGCGGCCTATTCGGCGTGCTTGAACGACTCAAGGGCCTCGCAACCTGGAGTACGCCAAGCTCACCGCAACCGTGACTGCGCGGTCTGCCTGGGACTGGTTGCGCACTTTTTTCATAGTGACGGAACCTTTCGGCCAAGAGTACAGAGCCTAGATGGCTCTCTAGCTTAGAGGCAGCCTGTCACCTGGTTTTAAGCCTTGGAAATTTTTCATAGTGTCCACAGTGACATTACGGCAGCATATTTATGCCCCCACGTTTTAAAAATAATTTTTAGAAATTATTTATAATTATTTGATAATTTTTAAAAATTATTTAGGGCAACTTACACGGAAAGTAGTGAGCTCAGCTCATTTATTTTGCATTTTTCATTCTCATTATTTAGTTTTAAATGGAGGAACCAAAAATTAAATAAATTGTCAAATAATCCGTTTTAAATGGGGGACAGATTTATTGGTGGATAGTTTGTCTTGGGGGGAAGTTGGATTGGTGGACAGTTGGGGATACCCCTTTGAAATCTATGATGCTAGGTGTCGCGCTAAGCTAGTTATTCTGTAACCGAACTCGCTTATGTTTTGAAGTCTTGTGTATCGGTTGCTCATTCCTTTTCATTTCCTCTGATTATTTTTGATTTTTTTGTGATTATTTTTGATTTTTTTTTATTTTTTGATTTTTTTAAATCATTTTTTGACTTTTTTACAAAGTTTTGATTGATTTTGATTTTCTTCAATGATTTTGATTTTTTTTGATTTTTTGATTTTTCATGATTTTTTTTGATTAGAATTTTGATTTTTTTTGGCGTGTACAATGATTTTCGTCAGTGAGCCCCCCCTCGACTTCAGCGCATGATTTTCTATCGATATGGATCAAATGGGGAACTTTTTTAATACTTTTTTTGTAACTGATGTACTACTTTAACGCCTCCCTAACTAGAAAAAAAAAGAAGTAACTTAAAAAATGTGCCACAGTAATATAGACTCTATGCAGACCTCAGCTTCACTAGAATTGAAATTCTACCTCGTTCGGGAGAACTAAGTAAACATGGTTCCGTAGTCCATTCGTGAAGATTTAAATCAAAGAAACCGTCTACAGAGCAATGTTCCACTTTTGAAAATTTTCAAAGTTATGTTAAAGGCTTTTTAGACAAAAATGAAATTGCATAATTCATCTGATTTGATTTAGTTCACCCTGCAAACAGTTCTTTGTTGCTCCTGAAACATGATGAAAATTAAGTTATTCCCTTTTTCCGCTTCATGGATCAACTACTTCGTAATTTACGAACTATTTCTTCGTATAACAAAGTAAATTGGTTTGTATCATGTAAGCTCAAAATACTTCGGAAGGTTTCAGGCATGTATACTGAAGCGTGTACTAACAGCGACTAACAGGCACACTCATATTTAGCGCCTACATGCCAGGCACATACTTTTACAGTGTGTGCTTGGAAGATCCTGTAACAAGAGTCTGCTTGGAAGCATGCTGCAAATATGAGTGCACTGTATATACACACTTTAGTTTGCAGAGCGTGCAATAAATATTTTGCTGATTCAACTTTTTAAATTAACGGTCATTGGGACTTACTGCCTTAAAGGGACATCGGAATGGAGGCCGAATCGCCTTGATGACCGATGCCCATGGGGTGTTGTCTGACGTTGCCAGAGTGCACACGCCCGCTGGGAACTTCCACGCACTAAAACTCTCGCACGTGTTGTGAGAGATGCCGTCTCGGCAGGCCGTAATGCTGATGTCCAACTGCGAAGAAAGTGACACACTCATTCCAGGAACGTGACATCACGTTCAAACGAATGTGACAAAATGTCACGTTCGTTAGAGCATTGTGTCACGTTCGTTAGAGCATTGTGTCACATTCGTTTGAATGTGAATAAGTTAATTTATGGCCGATTCACATCGAAACGAACGTTACACAATGCTCAAACAACCGTGACACTTTGTCACATTCGTTTGAACGTGATGTCACGTTCCTAGAACAAGGTAGGTTTACGCCAGACCGCGTCTTGTCGTAACAGGCTTCGCGATATCTCGCTGCCTGTTTCTCCAATCCACGCCTGGCGTACCTACCTTGGCCTGCGGCGCTAGCCTGCCTTCGGCAGGTAATAGCTTCTCCGTCGTCGGTTACGTCTAATTTGTTGCGTGCTGGGGGCTCCGATTTTTCGCCGTTTTTTAAGGTGTTTTTCGGCTATAAAAACTGAACCAATTTAGCTAGAAAAGTGAAATTTCGCGAGTGCCGAGCCAATGATATACCCAAAAAGTGTTCAAAATCTCATTGAGATCGGCCGAGCCGTTCAGGAGGAGTAGTTGCGGACACACAGACAGACAGACAGGAAAGACTTTTCAACCCCACTGGGCCAATAAATTATTTTTGCTACACTGCCAATCCAAGTGTGAGACAGTCTCACACCTGTAGGTGTGGGACAGTTTGTCTCACACTTCCAAGTAGGAGACACGGTTTGTCCCACACTTGCTGCCTATACTAGCTCTGTGGTTCAATGCCACGGGTCCCACGCCTGCAAGTGTAAGACAAACCGTGTCTCACACTTGCAAGCGTGAGACAAGCGCGGCTCACACATAAAGCGTGAGACAAATTGTCTCACACCTACAAGTGTGATACTGTCTCACACTTGGATTGGCAGTGTACATTCAAAACTTAAACGTCTGAAGTGAGCCCCATATGCACTTCACCGAGAACGACTTACCCGCGATAAAAGCTTGGCTTCTCCATAATTTTCCATTGCACAGTTGATTAAATTGTCTCCCTTGCTCGTTCTGACAGCCGATGAGTTCTTTATTTCAAAGTGACCGGGTTTGCCCGAGCAGTTGTCTACAGACAAAAGCTGGAATATGATCCGAGATTGGGGTTTCTGCCTTGACGCACACACCTGACAAGAGATGGATACACAATATGAGCACACTAGTGAAAGAAAGGCATTATATGACCTTACAGGCGAGGGGTCTAGAACTCCTTTTGAAAGTTACACTTGAATACTGATAGTGTTTACCCGAGAAAATTCTTTAAGAACTCTTTAAGTTTGGGCCAGTTCAGAGCGTTTTTGCCTTATCATCAGAAAAAAAATACAGAGAAAATGTCCAGTTTTGGCATGTGATTTCCAGTAATTTTTGAACGAAGTGTGCACAGGATTACCTGGGTGATGGACCCCTAGCTTACAGAGCGTGAACGATTTACGTTTTTGAAAGGGCGTGAAAGACCGTTCATACCCGGGCGTACACACTAAATGTCATGGGACATTTTTTGTCCCATGAATGATGCAATTTTAAGTACATCCGGTGGTGATGCAATTTTGTGTCCGCCAGGCGGGATAAATTGCCTAGTGAAAGTACAATTTGCAGCAGGCGTCGGACAAAATGTGTCGCCAGACGGGAACCAAATTGTATCAGCGTCGGATGTGCTTAAAATTGCATAAACCGTGGGACAAAAAAAGTCCCATGACACTAAGTGTGTGGGCTTCATGCCTTTGTTTTGACAGTGCAGGAAAGCGCACATATGATATTTGAACTAGCTTCTGATGCCACTTGTTGACCTGTCCCAGTGTTCAAAAATAAATTTAAAACTAGAACCCACACTTGCGAAACCAACGCGGTCTACCGCGCACCAACTGATGCGCACTCTTAAAACCTTACGAAGTATTTTGAGCATACATATAACAAACTAAAATACTTTGTTATACGAAGAAATAGTTTGTAAATTACGAAGTATTTTCTTAGAAAGCTTACGTATGCTCAAAATACTTTGTTATGCAAACTACTTTTCTTTGTAAGGCCCAAAATAGTTTGTAAGGTTTTCTCAGTGCGGTCAAGGAAGTGCCATTAAACCAGCATGAAATGGATCTGAGCTTAGCTCAAGCGTGGAGCGGAGACCCGTCACTGTCCGCACCGCTCAAGCGGAGTTGACCGCGTTAGGGCTCAGTGCACTGCACAGTGGTTTAAAATGCTGTTTTAGGGGGAATAAGTCGATTTTTCAAAACCGTCCTGGAGGCATGCTGGGGGGTGGAAACGGACATTAATACTCCAATATAACGTGAAATAACCTTCGCAGATTTTTAAATTGAGCCGGGAGCGACGGGGAAAGGTTTGATTCTAGTATTTTGTATTTTAGGTAATTTCACCTAATTTTCTTCAATTTTTCCGACCGCCATTTTTTTCGGTAGGGCGATGCTACTTGTAAGCTGGCGTCTTTTTCTCTTAGTGTCATCACTAGACAAAGGAAAGCAGCATATAGAACAACATTCCGTTAGCGCTTGGGCCCACGGTTGCGTTTTTTTGCTATAAATGAGTTCAAAACCTTAAAAAACATACTTTTTGAGTTTTGGTCATCTATGTGAGCGTATGTAGCTGAGTTATTGGTACGAGGCGCTTCCCTTACATGTATATTAACATGTCCTGACGATAACTTTCCCGCATACGTCCGCATCACGAAACGCAAGGGGATCAACACTACAAAAACGTGCCAAATTGACTAGTTTTGGGGCTATTCGCTTCTGATGTACACCACTCAAAATGAAAAAAACATTAGTGGGATTGTTTTTCTTTTCAAATATTTTGTTTTTCTTCATAACTAAATGATTTAATGCGGCTCAGAAGTTAAAACTAAGTATTTTGATCATTTTTTAGTTTTGCACTTTTTGTCAATTTTGCCAGTTTTCTTCTAATTTTGCTATTTTTCTCTTTATTTTAGAATTATTACTCCAATTTATATCGGACCACCTTTTCCTTTGAACTGGTCTTTACCTATTGCCTACCGATGATTCAGTTCAATTCTGGTAGCATTTGGTCGCACGGGACGCTTGCTAGGACTTATTCCCCCGAAAATCGCATTTTAAACCACTGTGCACTGTAACCAAACATCAATCTAAGCCAGGGGTCGTGTGAGCTTGGGCCCGCTTTTCAAAACCCGGCGAGAATTCGGACCGACTTGCCGCAGTTCCCAATTGGATCGATCGAAACCTCCGTTTAGACACTGCATTTGGCAGTAAAAATTTGACAGTGAATGGCAAATAACTTTTAGGTGGGCAGAGCTTACATCATTGAATCCCGAACGAGACGAAAGAAGCAATGAGAGCGCAACGAGTAGGATGGCATTGACGAGTCGAGGCATGTTCCAGCGGGCTGTCCATAGTGTAAGTAAGTCCTGCAAGCCGCCGCGCGGTAATGAACCGTACAGCACCGACGCCATTAGTCTAATCGCATTTCTCGTGGCGGAAGCTCATCATGGCGCTGTGTTTGTTTCCAGCAGGTTCGCGCACACTGCAATAATTCAACCAATATGACGTCATATTCGACGGAATGTGAATTTAGCCACGTTCGATTTGATTATGATGCCCGATTCGCAGCGGAATGGCGAAAGCTGCTGTCGTGGGCCTTGTCCCGAGGGGGTAAACACTAAAAGAAATCGTGTACAGACTACTCGGTATTACGCTGTAATACGGGGGTATTACACGTGTGTTACGGCCTAAACATGGCAAAATATGGCACATTTGTGCCAGAAATGGTATTACGACCACGTGTAATACGCGTAATACACGGTTTTTGTGCACAGGGTATTACGCGAGTGGTTACCCCCTCGCCTTGTCCTCCTAAGAACCCCAACCCGTCCAAGCTACGGATGTGAAGCCCCTAACGAACGTGATGAAATTTACATGCAGACGCAACAGTGCACTCACCATAGAGGCTGGAGTTGACCACCAACGGTTAAATTAGCTGGGTACGAAATTGGCTGAGCGCTCTGAAAGTTTGTTGTCGCTTCATAACAATCGTGGGTGATATTTTAATCATTTTCAAATAATGGCAATCTCATCCCTCATTAATTATGACATTATCATCACAGCGCATACAGTCGTTGCATGGACTTGAAATTAGTAGAATTTTGACCTACGCTACTGTTTCGCGTACTGTTGAGAAACGCTCATTTGCTACGCAGAAAGCAAGAGGATTAGAGTGCGGAACTTGGGAGGTTGAGCGTCTGCGTCGCCGTTCTGCCGCGTCTGCTGAGGATCATCTTTATACAACTACGGCCTTCGTACTTCTGGATTTCTTCACCACTTCTGTATCAGTGCTTCTTCGAAGTAGTACGGTCTGTTCTTCTGAAGAGTGCTATCATGTTCCCGAAACGTTACGTTACGTTGGCTCGGACTCCCCGCCCTCCTCCCACGTACCGCAGCGTTACGCAGGACGGATAACTCCCTATCTTGTTAAGGGTGTCCTAGTCGTCGTCGACGATCAAAGAACAAGCCCCAACCTGAGCCCGGGTTGAGCCCGACTTAAGCCCCGACTCAAGCCCCAATTTTCAGAGCCCGGATTGAGCCCCGTTTGAGCCCCACTTGAGCCCCGTGGCAATAAATCATGCTAAATTGCGTGATTTCAGGTCGCAGGGCTCAAATGGGGCTTAAACGGGGCTCAATCCGGGCTCTGAAAATTGGGGCTTGGGTCGGGGCTCAACCGGGGCTCAGACCATCGGGGCTCAAACGGGACGGGGCTCATGTCCTGTATGCCGGTTAAGGCTGGGAATTTCGCTTTTCATTCAGGAAATTTAAACATTGTCTATCTAGGCAGGTGTACGCCAGACAGTAGATAGTGGCTAGTATCAGACTTCGCGATGCTGCGCCAGTTCCGACAATCCACGCCTGGCGTTTCAACTAACTACCTTGGCCTGCGGCGCTGGCCTGCCTTCGGCAGACTATTGCCACTCATCTACTGTAAATCTATCGGCGTGACTTCGTGCCGTGTGACTACCATGATGACGCGCACGCACTGCAAGAAAAAGCCTCCACCAAAATACAGAACTTCCTGGAAAATTCTTCATCAGGATTTCGGACTTAAAAGCCCCGGGAAATACCCGGAAATTTGAAATTCCGGTAGCGCTAGACGCCCTGTATTATCGCTTTGGCATTACACTATAGGGTACTTCGGAGGAAGTCCAGACCGGAAGTCAACGATAGAACGGGAGCAACCAAAGAGTGTCCCGAGGCCGTGCTGAGCGGTGGTGGGGGCGGCTGGGGGCCGGGATGGGCAGAGTGGGGGCAGCGTGCGTGCAACGCCTTCATCCCCCACTCCGCCGCGCTGATTTCGACCCCCTCCACCGCTCAGTAGGGCCGCGCGATGCTGTTTTGTTTTTCCCATTCTGCCGCTGACTTCCGGTCTCGGTTTTCCCCTAAGTAAGTTACCCTATTACAGCCTTGAAAAACTTCGGCCTGCTCTAATGATAGCTGAAGTAACTGCTGCCGGTTTCGGTTTGCGGTTTCTCTTTTTCGTCGACGCGGCTTTTGTTGTCTTATGTTTGTAAAACGTATCATTGAACCATTTGAGCAGAGTTTAGCTCTGACCCCCCAAAAGTCTTCATGAACTGCTACCTCACGGACGTTGAGGGCATGAGTCACGCGAAGGGAAGTCTATTCGAAAAGAAATAATTTAAAGAAACGCTGTTCTGTACGATGACCACTAATTTGGTTTATGAATGAAGACAATCGAGAAGGCTTTCTACAGTGCATTTGAAAGACTTGATTAAGTTCGTTGAGTTTTCTTCACCTTCTGTTTTATTGTTGGTTGCAGCTGCACTGAGTTGAAAGTCCGACGCAGAGAGGGACGCTGTGCCTGACGGTCTTGGACTGCGAGCAGTCTCTAGTGCGAGTATCTCGGTATCGTCGTCGGTGGGCTGCTGTTCAGTGCGCAGTGCCTGTGCTCCAGCTCCTATATGGATCAACCGGTGAGTCAATGCGGCCCCTCTTTTTGGCCCGTCCCGTTCATTTTTTTTTTAAAAAAATGACGGAGGGACGGGCATATAGTATGATGCCTGCTGTGCGTCCGTCCGTCCGTTCGTCCGTTCGTCCGTCCGAGGACTTCCCGTGGTCTGATCTTGACCAAATTTGGTATGCAGCCTCCTTGGGTGACCCTTAGAACCGCCCGGTGGCAGCAAATCCGATCCGAGCCCCGGGGGCGCTGCTGCAGGTGCATCATGGTCTACATGGGGTCGAGGAGGATCTCGGCAACGGATGCAGCTAGAAGGGCATGTAGGGGTATTTTTGGAATCGGGGCGACGAGAAAAAACCAATGGTGCCAGTTTCGAGCGAATCGGAGAAGTTCGGACCCGGGTTCAAATCCCAGCGGGGTATTTTTGAACATTCTTTTTATTCGAGTTTTTGCATTGTTTCTGATGTCCTTGAGGGTGCTGATGACGAAAACTACATTTATTTTAACCCCAGACTCAGGTTTAATTCCCGTCAGGGTCAAACATAGGCGAAATTCGTACGTTTCTTAATGTACGGGACGGGCCAAAGTTGCCGATGAATATCGCTACTTTTCCTGTTATTTTCCCTCCATTTACTATCAGCAAATCCGAGCCCCGGGGGCGCTGCTCCAGGTGCATCATGGTCTACATGGGGTCGAGGAGCATTGTAGCAACTAGCAACGGATATGGTTAGGAGGGCATGTAGAGGTATCGTCGGAATTGGGGTGACGAGAAAAAGCGGTGCTTGTTTCGAGTAAATCTGAGAAGATTGGACCCAGGTTTAAACCCCGGTGGGGTCCATTACAAACCTTTGTTTTAGAAATTCAACTTTTTACAAATTCTTTTAAATGTTTTTGGGCGTTGATGATGAAAGTAACATCCATTTAGACCCAGACTCAGATTAAATCCCGTTCAGGTTCACTGTTAAAAAAATCTGAAAATTTAGACCAATTTTGTCAGACTTAGCGCACGCTTAAGACCTTACGAAGTATTTTGAGCATTTAATGCAAACCAAGTCACTTTCTTATGCGAAGAAATAGTTCGTTAATTACGAAGTATTTTCTTTGTAAGCTTATGTATGCTCAAAATACTTTGATATATCAAGCTTCTTTTCTTTTTAAGGCAAGGTGTGGGTGAAAATTTGTTCCAAAATTGATTAAAATGATATATTAAATTCTCTTGGTATTTTAATGTACAATATTCTTCTATTACCGACAGTATGTCCTGAAGGTCTGTGTTAAGAACCCTTGTTGGTATTTTAATGTACAATATTCTTCTATTACCCTTATAAGGGTTCATGTAACATGGACTGATGTATTGTATGCTCCTTTGCTGGTCACCCAACACTCACAACTAGTGTCGAAGGAATTTTTTCTACTCCACCAACTAGCCACGCATTCTGTTTTGTTTTATAGTGTCCATACTTCTTTGAGGAGTTCTTTGTGGTCCATGTATCAATGTAACAGAGCGATATTTTGAATAGCTGGCCGCTTTCTCTAATCGCTGAGCACTAAGTGGTATAAAATAGAGAAAAAACTAAATTTTTGACATCTTAAACTCTTCAGTCTGCTCTGTCAAAACAAAAAAAAAAACAAATTCAAATATCTTTCTGTTACATTAAAGTTTAGGGGTCTCGGTAACTCCAAAGCAAATTTCAGATCATTCTGTCAAAAAACTTTGCGTGCCTGATTTTCTACTAAACGCCAATGAAAACAGCCTGCTGTGGACATATGGGTGGGTAGATTTGGATGAAATTTGGTGTGTAATAGTTTCCTACCTAGTACTTAAACGCCCTTAAGTTTCGACCACCAGAGACAATCGACATAGAAGTTTCAGTTATATTATACTTCCCGATATTATTTCTCAAAGCTAGAGGGTCATGTTTACTGCTCACGTTTGAAAAACTAGTGGACAAATTTTTGATGAAGAACTTCTACACTCCCCAAAAAATGTCCTGTCAACGCCGTTAATTTATTACCTATGTTTGCTGTTATGCAATTCACGGCGTTTGCTGTGAACTAGTTCACGGCGTTCATTCTGATCTCGGTTACAGTGTTCACTGTGATCTGGCCACAGTAAACGCCGTGAATTGGAGCCTGATTTGCAGTACTTCGGTGCTCAGCGGCGTCAAACTCACAGTGTTTACTGTAGACCAGATCACAGTGAACACCGTGAACAAGATCACAGTGAATCGCGTGAGCATATCACAGTAAACGCTGTGAATTGATCTACAGTGAAAACTGGTAATAAATTAACGGCATTGACAGGACATTTTTGGTAGAGTATAGCGGGGACTGAGTAGCTCTGCGCGCAGTGAAATATTGTCATTATTGGGCAAATATGTTGTTTTGTCTTGTGCCCTTCGCACATTCCACTAAAATGACAGTAGATCAACCACTTTGTTTTCAAAATCATTCTTGTAGAACCCTCTTTTCATTGATAATAAGTGTTTTTTCCCACGACGAACAGAAAGGACTCTGTAACAGTAGGAACTTTGTCAAAATTTGACCAAAAAATGATGCAAATGGTGCTATTGCCGCCTGAAACGCAGGCCAATTTCACTCAGTTCGATCATTTGGGGCGGATACGAGAGTAAGCGGAATATATATGTGCATGCTCTAATGGTTTCTTTATATATGTGCATGCTCTAATGGTTTCTTTGAACTTTCATCTACCAGTTCAAGGGAATTAAATCACGAATTATGATCAAACTCAGTGAAATTCGCCGGCGTTTAAGACACGATTCTCTTGGAGGGAACGCCTACATAAGATCTTTTGAATTCCACCCCTCAGTGTTGTTTCCATTTTCCGGTAAATTGAGGTCTTAAGGGGTCAAGTTGAGTTATATCTTTTTTCCAATTGAATTTTCTTCATAACTGCCGGGAATTAAATCAAATGATTTGCTTCAATGATGTTAACCATTCTAAGGCACAACACTGGTAAAACTAGAGCCTCTGTTTTCAATTGTAATCACACTGTCCGAAATTTTGTCGTAAATTAGCGTCAAAAACGTCGCTAATTTTGATAGCGACAGAAATCGTTCTGAAACTACTTCGTCGTAACTGAACGACTAAAAAATCATTTCTCTACGACAATGTCGTAATCGCGATTTCATGTTTTTAAATCTAAAACCCCCGAAAAGTTGATGAAAAGTTGCAATTTTGCTCGCTTACTTACGATTTGTGTCGTTCATTTGCGATTCTTTACACAAATTTACGACAAGATTCGTAAATGTGCGACTGAAGTCATAACTGCACGACATATTCCATAGATGAGAATTACGATCGTTCGGAAACTTACGATTAAGTTGTAAATTTACGACTCAATTCGATTCAAAACGGAACGTCTCGCCATAAAAATTAGCGACAAATATGTCGTAAATTTACGACTCAAGTCGTATATTTCCGACTTGAGTCGTAACAAAATGTGTCGTTTAAAAACGACATAATTGTTCTACAAAATGTCGTAAATTTACGATTATTTTTAACAGTGCAGATTACGCTTGAAAGTTACAGGTTCATCCGCCAAGTTTCCCCCTACCCAAATGCATGCACTGAGAATGAATTGGTCACCACCATCACCCTTTAAATGGGTGATGCAACTTAAGACAACGAATTCGTTGCCCAATGGTGACGAAAAATTCATCACCCGAAATTTGGTAACAGGCGTTTGGTCGCCCAAATTTGGGTAACGCCGTCCGTCGACGACGCCGTGAGGTTCCCGATGACGTCCTTCCGGGGCCACGATGACCGGAGGCCTCAACGCCACACTGGTGAAACTAAAGCGTAACTCTATGCTTGAGTCAAGCATAAAGTTACGCTTGAAGACGTTACGCTTAAAATCAAGCATAGGCTAGAAATTCCCCCATGCATTTAGATAGGGGGAATCTTGGCGGATGAGCCTGTTACGCTTGAGTTCAAGCGTAAACTGATTACGCTTGAAAACAGTGGGTAATACTACGCTTTAGTTTTACCAGTGCACATTGGTTCATCGTGATGGCCCCGGAAGAGCGTCATCGGGGACCTTACGGCGTCACCGACGACGTTACCCAAATTTGGGCGACAATTTCATGACTGCCCAAAATTTGGTCACCGCGGCCTCGTCACCCAAATTTGGGCAACGGTGCGTGCGTTACCCAGTGAAAGGGCAATGGTGGTGACTTTCATTCTCAGTGTGGGGTCAGTCCACGCTTCATTTCAAGCGTAACGTCTTCAAGCGTAACTTTATGCTTGACTCAACACGGTAAAGACGGTTCCTGGTTTTCCCAGGAACTCCCTGGAAATGGCCTATGTCTTTACCATAGGCTTCCTGGGAAAACCAGGTACCGTTTTTACCGTGAAGCATAGAGCTGCGCTTAAGTTTCTTGGATCAATCTGATAGTGTCGGCATGTTGCCCGCAGCTGCTGCCCGTGCCGGACGACGGCGCCGTGCTGCCCGTGCCGGAAGGCGCCCTGCTGCTCTTGCCGGATGACGCCCTGTTGTCCATCCTGGCCCACCTGTCGCCAAAGGATCTCCTCAGCTGCCGCCTCGTTGCCCCCCGACTCCGGGAGCTCTGCCTGCGCCCGGAACTGTGGCGCTCTACCATCCTCAAGTACGGAGGCCCAGACATGGGTGTGCTAGCGGATGCCCTCGGTGTCGTGCCCTGCCTTGGAGAAATAGTCCCATGTGGCCTCTCCGTGGACTTGGACGCGCTGGCCCAGCTGGCCTCTTTCGTGAGGGAGACCACGAGTGTGATTGGAAGGCTGGTGTTTCTGGTGAACTCTCCGACCGACGCTGCGCACGCCACGACCATCCTAGAGAAAGTGTCCAGTCTCGGAGGCCTAAAACGGCTATGGTTGTCCGTAGGGAACACCCCTAGCGACGCCGTTACTCCGCTTTTCCAAGCTATCTGCAGTGTGTCGAGTCTGTGTGAACTGGAACTTGTTTGCGCCAGCTCTCCGCCTGCTACGGTCTCCTGGAATGATCTACGAAATCCCTCCTTGACCAGGTTCTGTTACGCGTCAAGTTCTGCACTTGTGGACTCTTTTCCTCAGGCGCTACTGACGGCCCATGGAACCACCCTCGAAGAAGTGGAGCTCTCCGGGACGGAGGACCTTCCCGTCGCCCTCCTGAAGGCCATGCCCAGGCTGCACTCCGTGGCCTGCAGTCCGGTGGACAGCCTGTCGCAGTTCTTGCCGGCACCCACACTGGACACGGTGTTCCTGTCCGCCCCGCGCGAGGACGCCTTTCCCCGCGGGGCCCTGGACTTGCTGCGCGAAGCGTCGCAGCTGAAATTCGTGTCGTTCCACTTCCCGACGGAGAGTCCTGCCGCTCCACTGGAAGCGCTCGTGCGCTCGCGCTCGGCCCGCTGCCTGGAGACGCTCTGGCTGTATTCCGCCTCCGCCTTCTTGGACCTGGTGGCCGCTGCCCTGCCGCGCTTCCCGTCCTTGCACACGCTGTACCTGGAGGACCCGCCTTCGGACTCGTTTCTGCGCGCCGTCAGCCCCGCCAGTGCGCCGCGCCTCGCCACGCTGGACGTGCCGCCTCCGGTGTCGTGCCCGCACTCGTGGCTGCACGGCCCGGCCGTCGTGGACGTCCTGCAGCGCAACCCGCGGCTGCACCTCCGCTTCGACCGCTGCCCGGGCATCCCCGACGACTGCCCCTGCTGCTGGTGCCGGTGGGGATGCCACGCGGAGCTGAGGCTGAGGCCGGCCAGCCTCGATTCTCCCTTCTCCGCCCACAGGAGGAGGGCGGGCTGCCCTGCGGACTGCTTCCAGGTGGCCGTGGCGCCTTGCCCGAGCTGCGCCCGCTCCGCTGCCTAGCCAGTGCCGCTCGGCCGCCTGGCCCGTGACCCACACTGTATCCTTGTCCATCTGAAGTCACGAGGTCGCCCTGATTTACGCAGCGCATCCTCTTTGCAGTCCTCTTCGCAGTCCTCTTTGCAGTGAAATTGCCCAGCCATGTAGCAGCTCGATAACTGATTTCATAACTCACCTGCATATTCGTTTAATTTTAACTGACCTAGTTGCTGTGAATAAAATTTGGTTCTAAATGTCGTCGTTGAGCCTCTGACTGGGTAGATTTTGTGAACTATCACAGCCATGTAACAGCTGGATCTCTGATTCTATTAACCTCCATAGTCGCTTGCTGTTATCTGACCTAGTTCCTGCTAATAAAATTTGTTTCTGAATGTCTGTGTTGTGACCCATGAATATTGGACCTGGTAAGTTTTATTCCTAATTCGTTATTATCTATGGTCCTCCGTTCATTTCAAGGTGAAGAATGGATGAAATACTTAAAAAAATTGTCCCAGATTGTTCAAGCTTTGAGTGTTGTCCTGGAGAGCGACGCTCGCTTCCTTACTGTTATTTAAGTGGGGACCCTGGTGGAAAAAATGGGCAAAATTGCCAAAAGTAGTATTTTCAAAGCTTATAGATAAAACTGTGCATAGAAGGTTACAGATTCAACAGGTTGAACACCTTTAAGCTAAGTGGGTAGTTTCTTTATCATTTGGAAAGAAATATCATGAAGATCAGTTGTCGTTGGCACTCTCAACCTCACAGTTTTGCTCAGTTGACAAAAAGTTTTGTCGTAGAAAGACTTCCTGTGTTCCTGGTTGACACATACGTGAGTCGTCTTGCATGGACTCTATTCATTGATGACATGTTGATTAATTTTGGTGAAGGAATCTTGATATCAGCCCTACTTAAGGAGGCACACCAGTGAAAATCGTCAAATTTTTGCCTTCTTTTATTTTATCTTATTTTTCTGCTATTCATCCCGAGTCGAATGCCGCAAACCCCACCCCGAAATTCCGATTACTTTGGCTTGTGCACATTTTTAAAGTTGCTAAAAAGGTAATTATTTTTGCATATTTTTGACCAATTGTTAACGTTTAGGTTTTTCACTTGAACTTCAATTACAAAACCCTTCAACCACCCAAACGAGGTTGGAAAGAGGAACATTTTGGTGCAAACTGAACTAAAATACGTCAAAAGACGCATTTATAATCCGAAAAAACACGTCAAATCTATGTTTCCACTTAAAAGGCTTTTTATCAAAACACCTTTTTTGTACCTTTGTGCCACTCTCACGGTCGCCAAAATCAAGACAATTTAATGCGCTTTGGGGCAAAATGTGTGTTACACTTGCGTCTATGGTCTGAACCTCGGAAATGGCCATCCCATAAATAGGACGTGAGCTGCAGCCATGAAAGCGCAAAAAAATTGGTAAAAAAAATTGTTTCTATTTTTGCCTTATGAAAAAACAAATTCAAAATCATTCTTTTTGCATGCCCGTGGTTCAGACCATAGCCACATGTGTCCTGTTGAGAAATTTTCAAATCCCGTGCGCAAAGCTCAATCCAGAGAGGCGGAATCGTGGCAGGAGTGAAGCAAGGTCGTTGAAAAATGAAGTGCAGTGGCGCTCCGTCTTGCCATCGCCACCTCGCTCTCCCATACTGATTTTCCTTTTCTTTAACATAATTTTGAGCCAAGAATAAAATATCAATCGAATACATCGGTTACTTTTCTCAGAATGATCGTTTTTCGAAACCTCTGCATTTTCACTGGTGTGCCCCCTTAATTTTACAAACACAATAAAGTTTGAAAAATTTGCCAAAAATTCCCATTTTTTAAATGTTGAAACTTGAAAATTTGTATCTTAGGACAGAAGTTGAACTTGAAAATTCTGTCACTAAAATATCTTCTGTACAGCTTTAGGATTACCCCCAAAAAATTTCAAGACTTGCCATCACAATGAAAAACGCAGAAAGATTTTTCGCCAACGCTCTAAAAGATACTGGGGCATTCCAGACCCAATAGGGTATTTTAACGAATCCCTGGCCCGGAAGTCAAAGAACAAAAGTAAGAACCGAAACGGCCTCTGCGCATGCGCAGACGCTGTCTCAGAGTGGAGGGGGGACGTCTGCGCCAGGGATTCGTTAAAATACCCTATTAGCAGGCCGCGTAGGTGACCACTGCCGATTTCGTTCCTTTTGTGGTCAAATGTTAGCTACCACAAGGGTAAGATGGCCCTAAATTTTTAAGGTCGAAATATGAATACTTCCGGAGATATCGCAAATTGAAATTTTCTCTGAAATTTCTTTTTGTGGTTTTGAACAAAGTGTCAACTTTTGCGCGAATCCCTCCTGCTTCTTAAGTTTTCGACTCAGAAGGTCAAGATCATTGCTCCTTGCGTAAAATTCATCAAGGAATCAGAATCCGTCGCCAGAAAGCACCTATGATCGAATTTAGAGGTCAAAAAATGGCCTTAAACACAAAATTTTGATATTTTTGTGCCTAATTTCAAGGCAAATATGTAAAGGGAAGAGATGAAATACAAGAGTTCGTTGGTTTGGCATGGAATCGCCCACTAGCCTTTTTATCGCAGCAAATTGTATGAAACTTATCACATTAGAAATACCAGTGTTCGGGTGAAATACTTCAAAAGTCAGCATGTGTCATGGCATTTTTTTTGCTCTATATGTACAGAATTTCCCACATGTCGAAATAAACACGTTTCACAGTGCAAAAATCTTAACGGAACATACCTAAGGGTCCAGGCGCGTAATTAGGGGGGGGGCGGGGGGGGCGATCGCCCCCCCCCTTTGGCCCCCGAAGGGGGCCAAAAGTACTGCCCTTACTGGGTCCGATTGGCCCAAGAAATAGCAGTTAGTCAGGAATCGTCCCTTAGCCTGGCCCGAACAACTCGCATTTTGGACACACTTAGGCATTGGCTTCTAGCTCGCTTCGCTCGCTGGAGGTAACTTGCTTCTGGGTCCTCTCCGCTGGCAAATAAACAGGATTGAGGTACCTTATGACTGATATATGTGATGCCTTCTTCGATCCTTAACCATCTTAGGCCGGGAAGAAAATTTGTTTGCAACGTATTTTCATTTTCAACCATTTGTTTGTCTGGCCAACCAAAAATATGTACCTGGTAATGTTTAAAATCTCCTGGAACCCTAGGACTAAGACCCCAAGTTATAACATTTCCCGCTCAACAAGGCTATAGCTTTTAGCTCGCTTCGCTCGCAACAGGAAGCCTCTTCTAAATTTCGGCTCCGTGGCAAGTGGGGGGAAGCAAGTGCGCCAGCCCTTCTAGACGAAAAAGTCTTCCCCATTGTAGGACTCGGAAACAACGTTTCAGACAGTTAAGCATTTATAGCTTTTGGCTCGCTTCGCTCGCTGAGAGCTATCTAATTCTAAATTCTCGCTATGAGTCCAAACAAATGTAGAATAAAGTGAATCCTCTTCAAACTTTGTAACAACCCCTCAATTTTCTGTAACGTTGTTTTGAATTTAGCCCCCCTCCCCAAACCACGTCCCTAAAAATTACCTATCAGACACAGGCTCCTTGAAGGTAGGCAACTTTTCAAACATTCGCCCCCCCCTTTCGACCCGCCTAATTACGCCCCTGTAAGGGTCAAAAGCTACGTAAACAACGAATCAATATAAGATTGTGTTGCTGACAACGCCAAATCCTCCTTTAAGACGTTTTCCTGTCTTGCAGCCAACTGATCTTGATCAGAGGGTAGTCGTCAGATCAAATTCTGAAATACAGCAGTTTTACTAACCATGCGTGACGTCGCACGAATGACAACGAAAAAAGCATCGTTAGATTAAAACAAAACAAAGAACGTCAAAGAATTTCGTGAAATTGAATCAACAATATTAGCAAAAAAAAATGAACACATCACAATTATCGCACTCAATACAAGCTTAGTAAAAAAAAAACCAATCATAACCTGTGCAACATGTGGGCCGTCACACTACTTAGTGCGTATAACCGATGCACCTATGTCCCTGAAAACTGAAAATGACACAACTAGTACTTTCCGAAAGAAGAAAAACAGAAGACCCCGCAAAAGACTTTTGAAGGCATTTCATGCAAAACACTGGCCAAACGTCGTTAGTGTGCGATCATTGCAAAACGCTCATTTCCTTCCTATATTATAAGACAAGAATTAAACGGCCACTCTCAAGAAATTTCCAAAGCCAAGTTCCAAAAATAAACACAAAGATAACCATGAAGGTTAAAATTCTAACAACTACGCACTGAAGTGACCGTATCACTCTGAATCAGTCGTAAGGTGCTTACTAGGACGAAACCTTGCTTAAATTCTTGTCCCAATCTGAGCGCCAATAGGAAACTCAGCTGCAGGCAACAACGCCCAACTGGCCTCAAATCCAATTCTTGAAAAGTCTTATTGCGACTACACACTCACGTTGGATGAGCGCATTCCCTTAATAAACTCATGCGGAAATAGCACACTCTATGATCTTATCTGCTGTAAAAGTCCCTATGGGAAGGCATACCGGTTCCACTTTTTGTTGCAAACAGCACGTTGAACGGACTTCTCTTAAGTATGGGTCCGAAGGTGTGTCTTGAGATGACTAGCTCGACTGAACTTCTTGCTGCAAATTTCACACTCAAAAGACTTCCCTCCTGTATGGGTCAGAAGGTGTCTCTTGAGGTCACTACCTAGGCTGAACTTCTTGTTGCAAACCGCACACTCAAAAGACTTCTGTCCTATATGGGTCAGAAGGTGTGTCTTGAGATTGCTTCCTTGGTTGAACTTCTTGTTGCAAACCGAACACTCGAAACACTTCTCTCCTGTGTGGGTCAGGAGGTGTCTCTTGAGATGGCTACCTAGGCTGAACTTCTTGTTGCAAACCGCACACTCAAAAGACTTCTCTCCTGTATGGGTCAGAAGGTGTCTCTTGAGAACGCTACTTCGGCCAAACTTCTTGTTGCAAACCGCACACTCAAAAGACTTCTCTTCTGTATGGGTCAGAAGGTGTGCCTTGAGACTGCTTCCTCTGCTGAACTTCTTGTTGCAAACCGCACACTCAAAAGACTTCTCTCCTGTATGGATCAGAAGGTGTGTCTTGAGATTGCCTCCTTTGTTGAACTTCTTGTTGCAAACCGCACACTCAAAAGACTTCTCTCCTGTATGGGTCAGAAGGTGTGTCTTGAGATTGACTCCTTTGTTAAACTTCTTGTTGCAAACCGCACACTCAAAAGACTTCTCTCCTGTATGGGTCAGAAGGTGTGTCTTGAGATGGCTTCCTAGGCTGAACTTCTTGTTGCAAACCACACACTCAAAAGACTTCTCTCCTGTATGCGTCAGAAGGTGCATCTTGAGATGGCTTCCTTGGCTGAACTTCTGGTTGCAAACCGCACACTCAATAGACTTCTCTCCTGTGTGGGTCAGAAGGTGTCTCTTGAGACGGCTTCCTAGGCTGAACTTCTTGTTGCAAACCGCGCACTCAAAAGACTTCTCTCCTGTATGCGTCAGAAGGTGCATCTTGAGATGGCTTACTTGGCTGAACTTCTGGTTGCAAACCGCACACTCAATAGACTTCTCTCCTAGGTGGGTCAGAAGGTGTCTCTTAAGACGGCTTCCTAGGCTGAACTTCTTGTTGCAAACCGCGCACTCAAAAGATTTCTCTCCTGTATGCGTCAGAAGGTGCATCTTGAGATGGCTTACTTGGCTGAACTTCTGGTTGCAAACCGCACACTCAATAGACTTCTCTCCTGTGTGGGTCAGAAGGTGTCTCTTGAGATCGCTACCTCGGCCAAACTTCTTGTTGCAAACCGCGCACTCCAAAGACTTCTCTCCTGTATGTGTCAGAAGATGTGTCTTGAGAGTGCCACCTAGGCCGAACTTCTTGTTGCAAACCGCACACTCAAAAGACTTGTCTCCTGTATGGGTCAGAAGGTGTGTTTTCAGATGGCTACCTAGGCTGAACTTCTTGTTGCAAACCGTACACTTAAAAGACTTCTCTTCTGATGGGGTCGGAAGGCGTGTCTTGAGATGACTACGTCGAACAGGAATTATTCCCGTTAGAGTCTGAAGGCGCATTTCGGAGAGGCCACCCGCGCTCATCTTGTTGGCGACAGCACACCTGCGCATTGTCTTTTCGAAATGCTTGGCGCTTGAAGATAAAGGATTGGCTTCCGAACTGGTTGTCCTACTTCTACTTTCACGTCTGCACGACATTTGCTCCATGGTCTGGGATCTTCCTGAAACCATTAAAAAAAGGCTTAAGGGGACAGTAGCGCCATTTACATCATTTTTTTGTCAAATTTAGACGAAGTTTTTACTGTTACAGAGTCCTTTCTGTACATCGTGGGGCAAAACACTTCATGCTTAGGCCAAACATAAAGTTACGCTTGAAGACATTACGCTTGAAATGAAGCACACTGAGAAAACCTAACAAACTATTTCAGGCTTTACAAAGCAAACAGTTTGTTAGAAAAAAGAATTTTGAGCATACATAAGCTTACAAAGAAAATATTTCGTAATTTACGAACTTTTTCTTCGTATAACAAAACAAATTAGTTTGAACGTATGTATGCTCAAAATTCTTCGGAAGGTTTAAGGGGTGCACATCATAGACTGGAAATCACCCCATGCATTTAGACAGGGGGAAACTTGGCGGATGAACCTGTTACTTTCAAGCGTAACCTGAGTTCATTTGAAAACAGAGGCTCTAGTTTTACCAGTGTTGCGCCTTAAAATGGTTTACACAATTGCACCAAATCATTTGACTCAATCCCTCAGTTAAGGAAAAAATCCAATTGGAAACAAAAGATACAACTCAACTTGACCCCTTATGCCCTGAATTCAGCAGAAAATGGAAACAACTCACCCACAGGCAATACCAAGGGGTGCAATTCATGCAAGATAGGCGTTCCCCCAAGAGAATCGTATTATAAACGCAGGCGAATTTCACTTAGTTTGATCATTTGATACAGCTACTAATCAATATAATTTGTGATTTCATTCACTTTAACTTACAGATAAAAGTTGAAAGAAACCAATAGTGCATATGGAGATATATTCCGCTTACTCTCGCATCCGCCCCCAAATGCTCAAACTGAGTGATTGACATTTTTGGTCAAATTTTGACAAAGTTCCTACTATTACAGATTCCTTTCTGTTTATCGTTGGAAAAAACACTTATTATCAATGAAAAGAGGGTTCTTCAAGGATGAGTTTGTAGTGGTTGATCTACTGTCATTTTAGTGGGGTGTGCAAAGGACACAAGACAACGGAACATACTCAGTCCCCGCTAGAAGTTTTTTTAACCAAAATTTGCCTATTTGTTTTACATACTTGAGCAGTAAAAATGACCCTGTAGCTTCGAAAAGTAATATTGGGAAGTATTTTATTTTTATAACTCAACTTTTATGAAACGTTAAAAAACGTCAGAATTTGTCATTGTAAAGTTTTCTCGAAAAACGTTACATTGCTTTAATCCCGAATTTTCCTTAACGGCCAAACGAGAACAATTCATGGAGACAGAAAGCAGGGAGATGACGCATATAAAATGACAAAAAAATTGATTCCGTCGGTAGCGAGGGCAACCTGCAGATATGTTTGCAGCGCAAGCGCAGATCCAAAAGGGGGAGGGGCGGCATCAGGGGGTGGCAACAGCCTAGTGCGCGCGTGAAGCTATGCGCGCCGCTCGGGCCGGCAAGGAGCGGCCGGGCGGCTGGGCCGCGCGGCCGAACCAAATTAAACAGAACTTTGTCAAAACTGCATCGAACTGAGTAAACGAGGTTATTTTTAGATTCTACGCAAAATTTCCTATCCGTGAGTGACAATGGAATGGACTTTTGGATATGTGAAACAGTTCTAAAATCAATTTGAAAACCAAATTTACGGCACCGACTTGAAGTTTCCCTTTCACTAAAAAAGCTATTTCCGTTCGTTTTAGGTCCATACATACAGCGAGCCGGTTGTTGGCCACTATTTTCCGGGTTGCGTGGTACACTTGGAACGCCAATACGACTTCTGTAGCAGAAATGCCGATCCAAAAACTACTTTCCATTTTTGGTCCAAAATTGTATTTTGCAACTTTGGAGGTTAAAAGCACAGTTTGAAATAGGTTTCTCAGCATTGTCAACCTCACTAAGCAACCCAGAAATCAATTCTCTATCGCCCTGCTGTGTTGGATTTGCAAAAGGAGGCCAAACTCCTAATTGAAACGAAAAGGCCCGAAGCGCTGCAAAACCGCCAAAACAGTTCAAGTATTTTGTGGAGCTTAATGTGTGAAAACTATTTCTCAGATTGTAAATCCAACCACACCACCTTGTAGGCCAGTCAATTCTACAGCTCCATTGTAAGTTTCATCGCAATCGGAGACCAAGAGTAAAGACAGCTATAATAATTGTAAATCCCATCAGTTTGGTTGATTGGTCGAGCGGGCGCAAGTATGAGAAATCGCTGCGGCAGATTTTTGCAGCTAACTTTAAAATATATTCTGTCGCCTTCACTCTTGGTCTCCGATTGCGATGAAACTTACAATGGAGCTGTAGAATTGACTGGCCTACAAGGTGGTGTGGTTGGATTTACAATCTGAGAAATAGTTTTCACACATTAAGCTCCACAAAATACTTGAACTGTTTTGGCGGTTTTGCAGCGCTTCGGGCCTTTTCGTTTCAATTAGAAGTTTGACCTCCTTTTGCAAATCCAACACAGCAGGGCGATAGAGAACTGAATTCTGGGTTGCTTAGTGAGGTTGACAATGCTGAGAAACCTATTTCAAACTGTGCTTTTAACCTCCAAAGTTGCAAAATACAATTTTGGACCAAAAATGGAAAGTAGTTTTTGGATCGGCATTTCTGCTACAGAAGTCGTATTGGCGTTCCAAGTGTACCACGCAATCCGGAAAATAGTGGCCAACAACCGGCTCGCTGTATGTATGGACCTAAAACGAACGGAAATAGCTTTTTTAGTGAAAGGGAAACTTCAAGTCGGCTGTCTGGTGCCGTAAATTTGGTTTTCAAATTGATTTTAGAACTGTTTCACATATCCAAAAGTCCATTCCATTGTCACTCACGGATAGGAAATTTTGCGTAGAATCTAAAAATAACCTCGTTTACTCAGTTCGATGCAGTTTTGACAAAGTTCTGTTTAATTTGGTTCGGCCGCGCGGCCCAGACGCCCGGCCGCTTCTTGCCGGCCCGAGCGGCGCGCATAGCTTCACGCGCGCACTAGGCTGTTGCCACCCCCTGGTGGCATCTAGATACTGCCTAAAATGTAGGCTAAACACCTACACGTTCCCCCTGCCTGTAATGCAAAAAGTGCCACTTTGCCCTCTACCCCTCCTCCCCAATAGGCAACCTCTGGACCACCCACTAATTCTGCGCTTCCTCCAAATCTGTCTCGGCTAAATTTGATTATTTTTAAACGCAAAATAAATGCTTATGGACTTGACCATAACTGTGGCTGTGATTGTGCATTCGAAAGTTACGTGCAAATTTGTACGTAAACTAGGTACAATTTTTCAAAATAAGATGAATTTATTTCCAAAGTTGGGGGCTCCTATAAGTTTACGAGTTATGGAAGTTTACGTAAACTTTAAGTCGTTTCTCCCAAATTTTCTTCACGACAAAGGATCAGCTACCCAGTCTTCACATTCTGGCAATTTCATTTCTATTGGCATAGGAAAAAGAGTGTTGGCAGATATGAAGATATCAGTCAAGAAGAGGCTGTAAAAGCTATTTTACGAGGTCTATTTTTATTTTTCTTCAAATTTGAGCCGTTTTTGCAATGCAGAGAGACACTGTCATACGTTTTGAGATAATTTACAAAAGATTAACTTAGACGATAACACAGAATTCGCGATTCCCACGATGTATCACACCCTAGAGAGCAATAACTTCGATACTGCAGTCGTTTTTGCAATTACCACCCCTTAATTTTAGCGATCAAAGAGCCTTTTCTAAGAACATTTTACAGGAACAAAATATAGACAGTGGTCATTGCAGTTTGATTGACAGTGAAGTCATCGCATTACAAACAAACAAGGCAGATTTTACGAAAGCTCACGGACGCATCCACTCGCTTCGCAAGGTTTTGAGTGTGCAGAAATGAGCTCTCTCTCAACGTACCTGGTGAAAGCCTTCGGCTCAAAGGAGCGCCAGTGATGATGGCGGACAGATAAGTTGAAGAGTTGACTTGACTCGGACAAGGCAGAGCAGCGTCGCCGTCGCAGCCCAGGGAAGTCGCAGTGGTAAATCGCTGGCTCTTTCCACCCGGAACGGCAACTCTGCGAACACAAACGTTCTTAAATTTAGTAACATTCTACATTCGGATAAGAACCGAGCAAGCTCATAATCACCCTCGTCCCAACCAATCGTCATCTTGTCAATATTCATTGACATTTGTGAGCCCGGCGGAAACCATCATTTTGGAAACATGTTGAATATTCGTCTTATGCGTCTTGTCGTGTTGTCGAGACGACATATTAACATTCCGCAGTCCTTACTGACCCTATTTTGATACTCTCGCACCGATATAAAGACGAAAACCTTATTAATTAGACTGAAATGGTCGCAAATCGGCAGCAGCCTATGCCCTTGCCTCTCCAAGTATGAAAAATTTCACAGTCTGAAGACGTTTGAAAAATAGCCGAATAATCGTTGAATAAAACAAGTTTAGCGGATTAGTCGCTGCGAAAGTATCAAAATATGGTCAGTAAGGACTGCGGAATGTTAATATGTCGTCTCGACAACACGACAAGACACAAGACGAATATTCCGTCTTACTTGGTGGTATGAATCGTAACTTCATAAAATGGTACGAATATTAAGACCAACTGTCTGAAAAGTTTGACCTGTTATCTGAAATTTGAATTTAGACTAGCAAGTCTGAATATTAAGAGCGATGGCTATCAAGTTTTGTACATTGTCGTCCGAAAACTAAATTCATACTTGTGAAATCGGAAAACTAGTGAAAAAAACCCGTCCCCTTTGTACATTTTTCGATTTTCTCAGAACTTTTATCAATACTACTGTTGTATTTCAAATAATATTTACGTTTGTTTAGTGTCGTAAAAGCATAGAGAATGTTTCAGAGCTCCGAAATGGACACTTATTGCTCTATCCGCTAGGTGGCGCTAGTGTCGCATGGATGATCTTTTGGAGCTAAAATTGCCACTTGAAGGCGAAATTGCGAATATTTTGTTACAAACTTATCGACGGTCCCTATCGATAGGCGCGTAAGTCCGAGCGGCGAGAACGTAAGAGCGCAAGTCCGTCCGCCCGGGACATACCGTCGTATCTCGCCCGGGTCGCGACGTAGCGTACTATGTAGATACGGAATGATGCAAAGATAGCACGCTACGTAGCGACCCGGGCGAGATACGACGGTATGTCCCGGGCGGACGGACTTGCGCTCCTACGTTCCCGCCGCTCGGACTTACGAGCCTATCGATAGGGACCGTCGTTATTCCAAGTGATTGTCTGAAAGGGCATGAGCGCACCAAAGCAAGATTCAGGTTAATAAGTGCAGTATAAGCTAAATAACAAAGAATACAATTTCACTCTCGCGCGTGGCCACGGGTCGGCGCGTGGTTGGGCTAAGGCCGCTCTCCCTCGCAATTCAGCAGTCACCTTTAGCCTCTTCACTACCTTTTCAAGTAAGAGTCTACTGCCGTGTACCTAATTTTTGAGCCGAGACGATCCGCTGAGCGTCTATGATAAACCGATGGCAAAAGTTCGCCGATTTGTGTTGTACTCTACAGAGTGGCATTTTTTAGTGCGACTGTT